ACACGTTCCTATCTTTGACGTCGCTGCCTGCCATCAGTTCACATGAATGAATGTTGCATGTCGTGGCGTAACGTGAAAGCCTACGGGAACAATGGCCAATAGTTCTTATGCCAAAGGGCACAGTTTAATTTCCAGAAACTCGCCGACAGCAATAAACTACGGACAGACGCACGGGTGGTTACGAAATGAAGCAAAACTATAAATTGCTAAAGCATGTGAAAAAGCAAGATATATAAAAGTTTACACAAGAGGACGTGGGTTTGCTTCGTAAATTTCGACCAACAAGCTTTACATCTTTTATTCTAAACGTTTATATTGACACGTGAATACTTAAACACTACTTGGACTGTTGAAAACGTAGAACAACAGTAAAATATGTAGCAATATCACATGCTACGTACATCACAACACAAGCATTAACTACAGCACATTTACACTATGCTAAACCGAAAGTATGGAAACAAAGTCCATGATATATGATTGGGAAATTTAAGAGCAAATTGAGAACTGACTTCATATAGCTAAGTCCTCCTTGAGAAGCCACCAGTTGCTCAATTACCCAGGACTTTTCTAACATTTTATGGAACCGGAAGGTTCATTATCGTGTTCAGAAAAGCCTTCCATTCGTCCCTATCCTAAGCCAGATCAATACGGTACATACCACCCCATCCTATAAAAGTAAAAAAGTAAAACTATCCTTGTTAACAGGCCGTGAAGGCCTATACGGTTGTGAGACGTTGAGGGTCCCACATTATCTAGAGTCTAGATTCTAGACAATCGGCTCAAAGATGGCGGTAAGGTTGTCAGCCTTACGCGTCGGCCGCGCTTTAGTTTTCCCTTGGCACTACAGCCCCAGTGGGCCTAGGCCTACCTCCATGAATTTCTCCGTTCACTTCGGTTTTTCTAGATCTTACACATTCGGTAGGACTCCTTGGGCGGGTGATCAGCTCGTCGCAAGGCCTCTACCTGTACACAAACACAGAAAAACGCACACACANGGAGGATAATATTAAAATGAATCTCAGACAGGATTGCGTGGTATGGACTGGACTGATCGGGCTCCATGAAAAGTAAGGACTCAGTTCCAAGGAGTTCATACACCAAGGCCTCTACAAACACGTTCCTATCTTTGACGTCGCTGCCTGCCATCAGTTCACATGAATGAATGTTGCATGTCGTGGCGTAACGTGAAAGCCTACGGGAACAATGGCCAATAGTTCTTATGCCAAAGGGCACAGTTTAATTTCCAGAAACTCGCCGACAGCAATAAACTACGGACAGACGCACGGGTGGTTACGAAATGAAGCAAAACTATAAATTGCTAAAGCATGTGAAAAAGCAAGATATATAAAAGTTTACACAAGAGGACGTGGGTTTGCTTCGTAAATTTCGACCAACAAGCTTTACATCTTTTATTCTAAACGTTTATATTGACACGTGAATACTTAAACACTACTTGGACTGTTGAAAACGTAGAACAACAGTAAAATATGTAGCAATATCACATGCTACGTACATCACAACACAAGCATTAACTACAGCACATTTACACTATGCTAAACCGAAAGTATGGAAACAAAGTCCATGATATATGATTGGGAAATTTAAGAGCAAATTGAGAACTGACTTCATATAGCTAAGTCCTCCTTGAGAAGCCACCAGTTGCTCAATTACCCAGGACTTTTCTAACATTTTATGGAACCGGAAGGTTCATTATCGTGTTCAGAAAAGCCTTCCATTCGTCCCTATCCTAAGCCAGATCAATACGGTACATACCACCCCATCCTATAAAAGTAAAAAAGTAAAACTATCCTTGTTAACAGGCCGTGAAGGCCTATACGGTTGTGAGACGTTGAGGGTCCCACATTATCTAGAGTCTAGATTCTAGACAATCGGCTCAAAGATGGCGGTAAGGTTGTCAGCCTTACGCGTCGGCCGCGCTTTAGTTTTCCCTTGGCACTACAGCCCCAGTGGGCCTAGGCCTACCTCCATGAATTTCTCCGTTCACTTCGGTTTTTCTAGATCTTACACATTCGGTAGGACTCCTTGGGCGGGTGATCAGCTCGTCGCAAGGCCTCTACCTACACACAAACACAGAAAAACGCACACACAAACTAAAACATCCATGCCCTGAGTGGGATTCGAACCCACGATACCGGTTTCCAAGCGAGTGAAGATAGTATATGCCTTAGACCGCTCGGCTACCGTGACCGGCCCGGCCGCGCTTTACTCCCCAGGAAAATTATTTAATTAATTCCTGGTACTCATTTCTGTTAGAGGCTCAGTAAACCCCAGGGCCAGAGTGCGGCTGGAAGGATTAGGTCAATTGGAAAAAAAAATCCAATGACCTCAGCGGGACTTGAACCCGCGACCTTCCGGCTTGTAGCATAGCCTCTCAACCAACTACGGTACCGCGTGCCCCCCCATCCTATTTCAATTCTAATATTATCCTCCCATCTACATATCTTAAAATTAACTTTTCTTATTATGTTCTGAATATTCATAATTGAGGACGTAACCCAGGGTCATGTGACTGCTTTTCTTTATAATTTATATATTTCGGCGTGAAGCAAAATTATATCCGGCTTAGCAAAACCATTGAGAGGCATCTTAGAAACTTAAAGTTTAGGGTTGATTCGTTCCAGCCCAATAGATGACCCCTTTTCTTAAGGGTTCTATCGTCTGGGATATAACGCCGTGTACTCCACTGAAAGTCAATCGACGTTTCGGAGGTACACGTCGCCTCGATCTCCAGGGTGGAAGAAAGAAGTCAAGAGAGAAACCAGCGTGAAAACAGATACACACGCATATTTGTGAGTCGTCACGTTAGGTAAAACACAGATCAAAATATACGGACGCCAGTGGGGTGGGGCAAGCCTGAAATCTTCCCCCACCGGATCACACACACACACACACACACAAAACGAGAAAATACGTATACCAAATATTAATCCTGAAAAATAAAAGAATTTTTAGAAGTATCATTATATTCTGAATATTTTAGAGCAACGTTTAAAAACAATGTTAAAGGCTTAAACCTAACTTCAAGTATATTTACTGCACCCTAAAGGCACCCATGGCTCAACGAGATTTGCAATTCTGTGGAGTTAAGTCGCTGAACACCGCCTTCAGGAGCAGAACCATGAAGTGGCGTGGGTAACGCCGTTGCGCTTCAGTGGCGCACTCAGCTCCACTGGATCCTTTTAACAAGGTGGATTTCACGATCCACTGATCACATTTTGACTTAACCCTCATGTCTGTTGGCCCTTACAGCACGAAACGTTTCCTTTCAACATGTCTCGACAAACTGTACATTTCGCAAAATACACAGAAATAAATCTCACTGTGAGGTGAAGTTGTTCCTTCTCTTAATTAATTAATTAAGCATCACCTCGTCAGACGTAAGGGGGAGCAGAGGTGCAGCTTCAACCCTCTGCGTGTGATTAACACAGTAATCGGCAGATACAAGGAGATTATGGCCAACAAATATGCAAAATAGCGAAGACCACACATGAAGAGAGACTTCCCACATGTTTCCTCCACACACCTGTCAATTACTGTAGCTCAAATAGGGAGTGACTACCATCCACCGTATGCAGAACGCCTTGAGAGCATATTGGTGACGCATATGTAAGTGCGCGGTCAGTACATGGCTCCGGAACGGGACGGAGTTGCGCGGTCAGTACAAGGCTCCGGAACGGGACGGAGTTGCGCGGTCAGTACAAGGCTCCGGAACGGGACGGAGGTGCGTGGTCAGAACAAGGCTCCGGAACGGGACGCAGGTGCGTGGTCAGTACAAGGATCCGGAAAGGGTGGAGGTGCGCGGTCAGAACAAGGCTCCGGAATGGGACGGAGTTGCGCGGTCAGAACAAGGATCCGGAAAGGTACGGAGGTGCGCGGTCAGTACAAGGCTCCAGAATGGGACGGAGTTGCGCGGTCAGAACAAGGACCCGGAAAGGTACGGAGCTGCGCGGTCAGAACAAGGCTCCGGAACGGGACGGAGGTGCGTGGTCAGTACAAGGCTCCGGAACGGGACGGAGTTGCGCGGTCAGAACAAGGCTCCGGAACGGGACGGAGTTGCGCGGTCAGAACAAGGCTCCGGAACGGGACGGAGGTGCGCGGTCAGAACAAGGCTCCGGAACGGGACGGAGGTGCGCGGTCAGAACAAGGCTCCGGAACGGGACGGAGGTGCGTGGTCAGAACAAGGCTCCGGAACGGGACGGAGTTGCGCGGTCAGAACAAGGCTCCGGAACGGGACGGAGGTGCGTGGTCAGTACAAGGATCCGGAAAGGGTGCAGGTGCGCGGTCAGAACAAGACTCCGGAACGGGACGGAGTTGCGCGGTCAGAACAAGGCTCCGGAACGGGACGGAGGTGCGTGGTCAGAACAAGGCTCCGGAACGGGACGGAGGTGCGCGGTCAGAACAAGGCTCCGGAACGGGACGGAGGTGCGTGGTCAGTACAAGGATCCGGAAAGGATCGGAGGTGCGCGGTCAGAACAAGGATCCGGAAAGGTACGGAGGTGCGCGGTCAGAACAAGGATCCGGAAAGGTACGGAGGTAGCGGTCAGAACAAGGATTCGGAAAGGGTGGAGGTGCGCGGTCAGTAAAAGGCTCCGTTCCTAAAAGAGCAGCCCTTGTACTTATAGAAACTCTGGACGTGACGACGAACACAAAAATAACAGTGAACATGCCGGGAATCGATCCCGGTACAAGCCAGTAATCAGTCGCATCAATGAGCTATGCAGGCTGCCCGATGACCTGTACTGTTTCAAAATTCTCAAGATAAAACCACTTGGCAGATGCTGTGAAAACAATTCATAGAATCGTATCTTGTTGTACCTGGTGTCACAGGGCGTTTTAACTAACTGAATAGCAGCAGCACAACAAAATTCAAAATGATAATAATCCCACTTTCAGGCACGACCTCAGAAAGCAGCTCAGTAACATTAGTTTCAGGAATAACGTTTTACTGGAGACAAGATTTGGGTCTGTCCACTCACCGACGTTGGGGGTTGTGTAGTCCCAACTCTCCAAGTCATTCCTGTACACGTTCAGCTTGGTGGGCTGCAACAGAAAAAAGAAAACAATGTCCTATCAAAAAGATAACAAGGCACTATGCAAGTTGTGACGAAACAGATTCAAGACATTACTATAAGTCGCTTGTTATCACTGAGTGTGCTGTCGTCCTACTGATAACGTATGCAGATGAGGCCTTCCTGACAAGCTGCCAGTCGCTCAGCCACTCAATAATTTCCCAACATGGAACCCGAAGATTAATTATCGTGTTCACAACAGCCATCCACAAGATCCTAATCCGAGACCCTTTGTTACAGTTCCTAACACAATTATTTTCTACGGTGAGTTGTTAGCCCCATTCCCAACCCCCATCTGAAGGACCAGCCCTTGTAGGATGTCCGCGACTGCTTATTCAATAAATTCGAGCGTCTCCCTATATCTGGAGGCCGTCTGCTCCATGAGCAACCAATATCCTATATGCGTTCCTCTTCGCCGGCATTTGTGCTACATGCCCTGCCCATTTCACACACCTCGGCTTAATCATTCTAATTATACGCGACACAGAGTCACTCCCTTAATGTCAGAGACCAAGTTTCACACCCATATAGAACCAAAGGCATAATTATAGTTTTGTTAGTCAGCAAACGAGAAGACAAAAGGTCCTCGACTGATTAACCTGTAACAGACTCTGCAATAAGAGAAGGGGGGAGGAACACGAAAATTTCTGATCCGAATAGGGCTGCATCGTCATGAACAGCGGATATTTCTTGGTATACAGGGCTTTACGCGAAGGTTTTCTCATGACGGACGCCACGTCGCGGCGCCTCTATGGAGGCTGCGAAGTGCCGATATCGACCGTGGAAACAATTATCTGTATACGTAAAGCGTCTTGTTAACTGGGATCGTAAACTTAAACTGCAAACACTAGGCACACAATACAGAATTCCTTCGGCAATTTATATTTAGTCGAACAAGACATTCCCTGGTGTTGTGGGGGATCCGACGCGTGTTTACGAAATTCCTGCTCCCATCCTACGTAACCCAGTTCAATGGAGTTCAGATAGTAACATCCCAATTCATCCAACGCCTTATTTACTTGCAGCTCGTTTAACGATTCAACACGGGGTTGAATGAGTGGGCAAAAAAAAAAAGGAAAAGTCTTCCCTTTGCTTGACTAATTATGCACTACGCCATGAAGCCGAGTGGATGTATAGATCCACGTATTCTTAATCTCGGCACTCGTTTGAGATACGTGGCCGGCTTCACGCCCCAGCCGCTTTACCCCCGGGGACCTGGACGATGTGCAGAAAATTACCTACCCTACCGGTAGCCCAGCTCGTAGCCAGTGGCAATACCGACTGCGCCATCCGGGCTCTAGTTGAACGGGTGGAAGGCACTGAATAATGAATTGGATGGGATATGGAAGGAACTTATCATGTCCTAATTTAGAACCGCATCCTTGAATTTACCTGCAAGGAATGAGAAAGCCATGAAAACCTTCAGTCATGATAATCGGTGTCCCGTTTGAGGTTCGAACTGAGCTCCTCCGGAGTACAAGTCAGGGTATTTTTTTTTCCTTGGCACTACAGCCCCAGTGGGCCTAGGCCTACCTCCATGAACTCCGTTCACTTCGGTTTTTCTAGATCTTACACATTCGGTAGGACTCCTTGGGCGGGTGATCAGCTCGTCGCAAGGCCTCTACCTGTAGACAAACACAGAAAAACGCACATAAACATCCATGCCCTGAGTGGGATTCGAACCCGCGATCCCAAGCGAAGACAGTGCCTCTTGTTAGATAACGCTCCATTTTATTTCTTTGGTGTAAATTTTACCCACATCAGATATCTATCTATGGGATATTACGGAGCTTTGTCCAGTGAAAGTACACGGCGTTATATCTCACAAGATGGACCTGTTCATAAGCAACGCTGTGAGAACTCCACATGCTAACACTTCGGACTCAACAAACTATATGGGCTTAATTAAAACATGTGTGAATCTGTAGACCGATGTAAAATTAACAGAAACAGAGGTCGAAAGGTGTACCACAGTACTGAGGGCTAACTGGTTTGTGCAAACAGCAGCTATTGCTCGTCTCGATAATACAATTAAGCCGATCTTAGAAAACTCCGATTGTGAAGGAAATGCCGCTGCCTTTCAAGCAGCACAGACCGAGCACGCCCGGACTTCTGAAACTTAATTTCTCTAGAACCCAACAATTTGTTTCCCTTGTTTGGAAGAGGGAAAACTTAGTTGTGTTGTAGGGAACACGAAGGCGGGGGGGGGGGGCTATCATTTTCGTGGCAAGGCTCCTGAGCTCAGATGGAACTATCAGACTGCGAAAATCCTGACTCCGTTTCACCTATAACAGGCGATTTTAAGAATTTCGCGAAGTTAATCAACTGTGAGCTGTTGGAAGTGTATTTGAGACGAGAAGGGGGTGTTCTGCTGGCGACGTGGAAGTTACGCACGAGTTCTACAATGTCCTTAATTTACTTTTATAACAGTTTCCTCTCAAGTTCCGTAGGGTTATAATTCTTAATGGCGTCGTACAACAACCAGAAACGTGGCGCCTAATCCCGGCGCATGCCCAATGGAGACAGAAGCGAGACAGTAAGATGCTAGTGTGAAGCTCGGGAGAAAAGGTCAATGCCGCATGTTTATATATATTTAAATTTCTTAGCCAACCGTAGCTGGAGCATAAATGTGTGGGTTCCGATTTCGGGACCAGGGCAAGTCGAATCTTGAGGGGTTTTCCGACAATTCAGCAAAACCTTTCAGTTGCCTTCTTCAGAATTAATGTGTTTATGACTGGATTGGTGGCTCATGTAACACGCATTAGCCATCACCTCTGACATAATTCCTAATGCTAGAGAATATATGAGCGGCCAACCTAATCCTGAGAATGGTAAATGAAAGGTTTGCCAAAAAGTTGTACAAATTTCAACATTCGATGCGGCACAGTCGCGAAGGCTGAATACACATACATACACATACACACACCCACTAACTAAATACATGGAACTGAGCCCTTCAGAAATCGCCAAGTCGCTCATTTATACAAGAATTTCTCAACTTTTATGGAGCCCGACGTTTCAATACCGTGTTCACAAGTGCAACACTGGTCCCTATCCTTAACCAGACCAATCCACATCATAATATACAGTTTCTTTATTAAAACCGTCACAACACAACAATATTAAGGACAGTGCCTAGTTTGGCACTGCTACATGTTTCGGCTATTAATAGCCATCATCAGGCAAATACATATATACACCACTGAACTGCAGTACTAGTAAAATTGGATAAAATAATATTAATTATATTAAAATACTTGGCGTAAAAATACAATAAATTAGATTATATAAAACAAATGTTATAATATAAAACAAGAATAAAATTCTTCGAGTGATGTTTTACATCATCGAGTCAGTCGTTAGTTTTTGTGAGTTTGTTGTGTTCCCAAGGACAAATTGGAGTATTATATATTTTGTATATATATAATAAATTGTTTTGGAGGCTGGTGATGTAGATGTAGTAATATTAATGATAATTTAGTCAGTGCCTCATCTCACAAAGTACTGTCCGTTCTGTAGGGAATGTAAACGACTCAATAAAGCCCCATTATATCTGTCCATCTTAACATTACCCTCCCACCTACGTCTAGGTCTTCCTAGATGTCTCCTTCCTTCTTGCTTTCCCACCAAAATCCTATACGCATTCCTCTTCTCCACACATTTTTCTACAAACCCAAAATCCCATTTACCTGCTATGAAGCATGACTAAAGTGTGTTCATACGCTTATATGTCAGAAGCGCGCCAGGAATGCAGAGGGGCCTGGGTGGACTCCCGCGTCTTCAATAAAGACACAATGTCCTTGGTAAGATTCACGTTGCACTCGCTTCAGCCCTACACTCACAGGATACGCTCGAAATCGGATATTTATCTCTGTCCTACTCAAAACCGCTGCCAGCAGCTCAAACTACGCAGGTCGATTGATAGGATTAGTGAAGTGTGGGATGCGGTGGTCCTGCCTAAGTATGTGGCATATCTCGGAATTTCCTTGGAGGGACTTAACGAAAACCAGGAAAGACATGTCTGAGATCTAAACACAGGATTTTAATAATACAAAACAGGAGACTACCAAGCCGACCGCGGCGTTACGCTTGAGACACGCGGAGTATCGTACGAACTGGAACGTTTCAACAGATTCCTGCAAACTCACAACATGAAACTTAGTGAAAATACCATAAGCTCCCGCCACCCTGAAAGTGTATGTAAAGGTAACAGTAAAGTTGTCATGAAGACGTATGGGGGAGTGGATGTATAGATCCACATTTTCTTCACGTCGACACTAGTTGGAGGTCGATTCCCGATGAGGTCACTGAATGTTTTCAATATACGTAATCCTTCCAGCCGCACTATGGCCCTGGGCTCGACTCAGCCTCTAACAGAATGAGTACCACGAATCTTCCTGGGGGTAAAGGGTGGCCGGAGCGTAAGGCTGGCCTTACCGCCATCTGTTATCTACCTGTATATAAGATGTGGGAGCTTCGACGTCTCACAACCCTACGGGTCTTCACGGACTGTTATAGGGATAGCTTTACCTTACAACAGCAGCTGCTAAGTAATGGCTCTGCAAACAGCCGCTGCTAGGCAATGGCTGAGTAATGATCGCGTGGGTACCCCAACACACACGAACGCAACAACTGCATAGTAACAGAGCGCTATTTTCTGTGCGGTCCGTGCCGATATGTTAAGCAGGACAAGTTAGAGTACAGTTGGGGTTCAGCTGTTGTGAGCTGTTGCTGTCAGAATCTGGTAGCTGAGCCCGGGGACAGTTCTGGAACACAGAGGAAGGGAAACGTGTCCGCCGTTGGAAGCCGCTACCAAGCAACGGCTACTGGAGACTGTAACCGACCAAGAACACTAGTCTGTGTGTGATTTGTGAAGTGTACTAAGTTGTATAAGGGTGAAATAAATCAGACCAACAATCCAAACCCCGTCTATAGTCACTCATACGCGTGACACAGACAGCAAGTATTTTC